ATAATGGATGAAAGTTTAGGACTCACTGTGATAAAGGCAGCATGTTGTATTTTCTGTAGTAAAAAAAAAAAAAATTACAAATAAAACTTTGAGACTCCATGGGGAACCCGAGTAGATCTTCTTCTGACGTGTTTATTTTCATATGGTGAATTAAAGCAATATGGTGTGGTATATATATGTGGCCTTTGGTTTTACTCTCTTATTTTATAAAGAAAAATTAGCATCCTGAAACAAAGATCATAGACTCGGAAGTCTAATAAGGAGTCGCTACAGTGGGCAGTAGGTTTTCTTTGTGAGGTTAATTACATTTGAATGAATAGCTCAGATTTAATGTTTTGACAATGATAATGGTTAATATTAATAAACTTTTTGTTATTTAATTAATGTAATTATATTTTATATTAAAGGAATGAGCTAATAATATTTAACACATAATAAATATATATGTGGTAGAAGGCCACGATCCAAACTGTAAATTGATTCAATTCTCACAATAATCTCATTTGTGGGTAATAGGACTATTGCCATTGTACAGATGAGACCAGCAAGGAAAAATAAATGTTTAGTCAACAGAAATTTCTTTCTTTTTTTTTTTTTTTTGTGGTTTTTGGCCAGCTGGGGCTGGGTTTGAACCCACCACCTCTGGCATATGGAGCTGGTGCCCTACTCCTTTGAGCTACAGGTGCCGCCCGTCAACAGAAATTTCAACCTTGTAAAATGCTCCTTAGATAGTGGTTCTCAAGCTTCCTAATGCCACAGCCCTTTAATACAGTTCCTGTGGGTCATGACCCACAGGTTGAGAACCTCTGGCCTTAAAGAATACATGCCATTATGTAATAGGCAATAAAATTCATATTGATAAGTGTAAAATATAAACTATGCCATGATACCTTTGATTTGTACTGTTTTTAAATACTGTAAGTGAATTATTATGACTACAGTTGTACTGGACTCTCTAAGTACCCCTTTGGTAAAGGTAACTTCATTGATTTTCCTAAAGTATAATTATGACATCAGATGACATTTGATTTTGTAATATTGCAGTTCATCAAGACAGCTGAAGAAAATTGGCTTTGGAGGCTTCAAGATAAATCATATTTGAAGCTTTAGCCAGGGGAATGAGCCTCTTACAAAAATTACCAAGTAACAAATTATGATGAATTTGACAATTTGATTAATTTGATATGATTCTTATGATGATTTGATAGCATTCCCTATTACATGACTTTGTTCGCTGATGACTGAGTAATTCATAGTGCCATCCTACAAAGCACATTGTCACACATTTTATAACTCAATGAACTGAAACTAAGAGGTGAAATACTATGATTATATTTTGAGGATTTGGGGGGCAACTTTGCAGTTAAAATCCAGAATCAGAACATGATTTCATCATTTTGCTGTATTTATTTGAAGAAAAGTTTCTGACAGGCCACGAGGTTGTTGGTACCCTCTCTCATCCGGCACTACAGTACATGTATTGATAAGTTTTAATACACTTATATGCCAATGCGTCCTCTGCTTGAAGACATGTCATGAAAGGCACACCTCATTTTTTCACTATCTATTCATCTCACATATATAAAATTTAAAAAGGCAAATGAGTTTACACATAATATTTTCAAAGTACATCTACGTGTTGCTTTTAATCATTGCATATCTCACCACCTATATTATAAACATCCTTTTAAAGGCACTGATGTGGCCTTCCTTGTGATTTCCTTAAAAGATCTCAAGTATCTTGTACTTACAGAAGACAGACTTTTATCAGTCATAAAAATAAATAAACTGTATAGGACTGATTTTTCTTAAGTGGAAATTTGTTTGATTTCGCCGTTTGCAACTAAAGTTAGAGCAAAGTTTCAGATATTAGAGATGCTGGACGAGTCAGAGCCCTGAGTTTGGGATTCTTTTGGAACAAATCCTGGAGCCAATAAAAAATGATTCGTGACCTGAGTCAAAGCCTTTCCCAGTGAGGTCTGGAAGCCAACTAGCTGGCTTCCCGTCTGTTTTCTCACCGAAGTCCCAGAAAGGATTTTGGATAGAGGCTAAGAAACTCTTGGCATACATTTCAAGAATAAAAGTATTCCAAAGTATTCTTGTTTTCATTTTTTAATATATATGATTCTGATATTTAAATATGTTTTTATAATTTAAGGCCTTCATAAAAGGAAATGGATGCAACTTGGAATTGGGTGGAAGTGGTGTCACAACAGAGGCGTGGCAAGCCAGGATGAGAATAGGGCAGATTTAATGTTATGTAGGTTTCCGTGGGTCAGAGGGCAGACAGATCAGACAGACACCTGTGAATCAGAAGGCCAGGGGGTCAGAGATAGTGTCAGAAGCAAGTGGTACAATTTCTCTAGTCTTCTGATGCCAGTCTTCTTAACTTTTTAACCTCTGTGAAATAATAACTTTAACAAATATTTATTGGAAAGCTCTCAGCAAAATAAACCTAGATGCTATATGATAATGAGAACAGACTTTTTCGTGACTAATTTTGTAAGTGCTGTGTTATTTAGTGCTGACACAATTACTAACTTTATTTCACAGATGAGGAATCTGAGCCTTAGAAAGATTAAGGGACTTGTCCAAGGTCCCACTGGTAATAAATGATCTGCTGGATCTCAAAGCCAGATCTGTCTGACTCCAGAACTCACTCTGTTCATTTTTGTGGATGCCTTAAACTTTGAAGTCAACCAGGGGTCCTGCTCCCTGTCTCTGGGAATATTGGCAACATTCAAGTCCTTTTAGAAGGCCAGAACAATCAATTCCATCATTTCATATATGTGTAAAGAAGGGGAGAATGCACGGTGTTTAAATTATAAGCAGTTTAATCCTTACAAAATTATCATATAAAAATAATACAATCTCAATGGAGGAAAATGACCACCACATAAAAGTTTCTGGCTAGAAGCCCTGTTTGTGCTAATTCAGGGACAGTTACAGAAGCAATTTTTCTCACACTTTAATGTCTTCAGCACAGAGATCCTGAGAATGATAAAAGGTAATACAATTTTGCTGTGGTCTGTATTTTCCATTTGCAATTGGATGCCTCCAATTATTTATCTTTTGGAAACTTAATTACTGCTAGGTGTGTAGTAGATACCACCTGGCATTTTCTAAAAGAAACACCCTCTTTTTCTCCTATGTTATAATTTTTGGATTGCTAGATACTTAGGATCCATTAAAAAAATTCAACAATCCCGTTTCTAGTTTTGGTCCTGTAAAAATACTAGCATGTGGGTATACAAAAGTACATATATAAAGATATCTCGAGGCGGCACCTGTGACTCAAAGGAGTAGGGCACTGGCCCCACATGCCAGAGGCGGCGGGTTCAAACCCAGCCCCGGCCAAAAGCTGCAAAAAAAAAAAAAAAAAAAAAAACTTTAAAGATATTTCTTACAACTTTAAATATGATGGAATCCTTACAAGTTAAATATCCTTCAATGAGGAATTAATATTATTTATAACATAATATAAAAAATAGATAAATATATGTGAAATAGTTTTTAGAAATCCTGCTAAAATGCTATGAAATAAAAATTTGAAATTGCAAAAAGATATGTAAAATTTTCGCCAGATTTGGTCTTAATCTTGTATGTGTGTGCATGCACTGTGGCATACTGTGAAATATGGTATAAGCCTATGGATTCTACAACCCTTCTTAGCAAATTTTTAAAAATGGAAAATGGACCAGGTTGCAAGTTGTGGGGCAACATTCACTTTTTAGTTTCTATACTTGTGATTTATTCATTTATTACAAAAAAGTGCATTTCTGTTAGAAATGTAAAATACTTTTTTTTTTTTTTTTTTACGATTTGCTTGGCATTGAGTGCCGTAACTAAATGATACGCTGGTCTTTGCCTCTTAACCTGTCCTAATTTTAGCCTGCTGCCTTAGTGACAGATTTTACAACTGTGTCCGCCATTCCTTTGCCTTCCTGTGTGTCCTGCCTTGAGCAGGGATGGTCCTTCCTGTCACTTTACATGTTCAGGTTGGATTTTGTTCCCAGTTCTAATTCCAGTGCCTCTAATCACACTTTCAGACGCTCACTTCTTATTCATTCCCCCTTCTATTCTCATTGCAAGTTTTTCATTTTTCTGTTACATCACATCTGAGTCTGCCTGGTAATAAACTACCATGTCCGTACGAAGAGCCCAGGAACCTGAAAAGTGGTCCGGCTTCGTTTCTCCCTCATCGTGACTGGACGTGACTGGACGTGACTGGACGGTAGTTGGCGTCCTGCAGCACTGAAGAAACTGATAGCCTGTTATTTCCCTGAAATTTTTCTGTGGGTCTCAGCTTTCATTTATAACATGATCTGCTGTGGAAAAGTCACCTCTGTGTCAGGTTGTCAACTCTGTGGCTCCCAGCCCACTTCCCAATTCTCTATTGTAATTTCTGTGTAGGAACTCCACTGACTGCCTTTATTTTCTCATGTAAACACATTTCAAGAGGCTTCGATGGGAAATGACAGTCCAAATAAAATATGTTAGACAGGAAGGCATTCGTAATTATTTCATAAAATGTTGCCAAAATATTGTCACATACTGTATCTCATATGACAAATTCAATAACGTCTTCTCAGGGAAACCTAGATTTTTATAGTAAAGTTGCTTAGAGATCAGTCCAGGTGGCTTCCTTTGCACGGACCGGTAGGATTATTTTCAAAATGATAGAAACAGAGGAAGGAGAAAGAAACCCGACTGACTTGCAACAGGAGTTTCCTAAGTAGTCATTCGGGAAGGGAGTTCTGCTTTGTCACAAATGACCAGCCCTTGATTTTGAAAGAGTGAATCATCCCCTTTGAAAGGAGAGATTCATGGGGGAAAAGCTGTTTAAAAATTACTTTACAGCTATTTCCTTTTGAGCTATGACTTCTTAAACTGGAATGCGATCCAGAATAGCTTCCCTTTGAATCCAACATTTGTCTTAAGCATTTTATTGTCTCCCTCTACCCTCTTCCCATCTCACTTTCCCTCTCTCTGTTCCACAGATTTACACGGACTGGGCCAACCACTACCTAGCAAAATCGGGCCACAAGCGGCTGATCAAGGACCTGCAACAGGACATCGCAGATGGAGTCCTCCTAGCAGAGATCATCCAGATCATTGGTAAGACCTGCCTCTGGTAGAAACTGTGTAAGTCTCCTCTGTCTTAGGTCCAAGCAATTTCAGTTTGAATGGCTGTTGAATTGGTCCACATGTCTCTCTGACTTGATTTGTCTCTCCCTGACTTCATTAAAAATGTTTATGTGAGGATGTTTAGAAAAGGCAGTTTGCTCATCCTTTTAATAGTTAGAACTGAATTTTTACTTACACTGAGTAGTCAGAAATGAGTGCTTCATTAAACCATATGTCTCCCATGTGTGCATTCTGTTAGCTGGAGCCCTCACGCGCTCCGAGATTCCTTGAAACTGTATCCTGATCCGGCAGGGACAATTGTGAAGGGTTTCATGTCAGCAGTCCTCTGGCACAGGCTGAAGAATTAGCAGTAACTTCCTTTTCATTCAGTTTTTTTTTAATTTTAATTTCTGATTTGTGCATGTAGAATTGGTGGCTGCTAACAAGGGCTTGAAAGACCTGGTAACTGTCACACCAGCATTTTTGCTTTGTTGTTATTGTTGTTTAAGCTGTGTGTGTTTGTGTGTGTGTGTTTGTGTCACCTCACTGCTTAAGCATGTCATTCTTTTTCTCTTTCTTTTATTTTATTTCTTGGCTTTAGCAAATGAAAAAGTTGAAGATATCAATGGATGTCCTAGAAGTCAATCTCAGATGGTAAGAGTCACATTTATT